AATGAACATTGGAGAAAACGGTATTATTCGATATCATCTGTGTCGGTACCTAACGTTTGAACATCATATACGCTACACGTTCGTGTGCCTATCTATCATCGCAAGGGCATTAGGATTTGTTTTAAAGCAGATCGAACCTTAGGTCGATTTCGTTGGCCGACCTCGTGCAGGCCTTTGAGTATCGAAGCCCTTCTGGAGCGTCAGTGCTGTTGTTGATGGATTAAATGCACGTTTTATTCTGACTTATTCTAGAGATGTTACCAATAAATATGAAGTCCTCAGGATCGAAGTCTTCTCCTGCGATTTATAGCAGTTGATGACTTCTTTCCATTTAATTTTGTTATCGACCTCAGAATGTGTTCTCAAAACAAAAACGTCTCGTACATAATTGCGAACGACGCAAATGATCGATTCCGAAGGAAAAACGATTCATCATTGCATGCGATATCATTGCATTCGCTCACTCAAAGCCGCTGGATACAAGCGAAAAAAAGGCCGTTCCACAAATAGGCAACGGTATGTATGCATAATAATTTTATTACCATCATAAATATTGTACGTCAAAGGAAAGTTGAATAGATAATAAAGCTAACACAGAGCTATTTTAGAGCTGCTTATGCATTTGAATCGAAGTAGATGTCCTTGAGTTAGGTAAACAGGACACCTCTAGTCGGTTTAATCGGCAACACTGAATAGGTATGACTACGTATGAATTCTACAGGTAATAGGTAATAATCGCGTAAAAGTCACAGAATACACCTCATTTCTAAATACGTGTGTGATTTGCGGCAAAAAGTGTTTTTCCAAGGTAATAATAAGTGCAACTGTATTGTAATCATTTGTAAATAATCCATCTGTACTCGTAAAACACGGTTTGATATTGCGGTTTGAAAAGGCCAATTTGAGAATACTTCCATAGCAAAAATCTAGAGATGTAACCCGCTGTTCCTGAACCAGATCCACACCTTAATGTCTTTAAAGTGGAGAAAGCCTATTTTTTTTTAGTAAGAACACATGTAAGACTATCAACAGAAATCCGTAATAAGGTATCTTATTTTTATGCCGTCACTTATACTTTCCTTGACTAACTGTACGAAGGGCATAATCTTGTATTACCATGAGAAAATGAACAGAACAGTCCATATCAGGTACCATGCAACCTGTCTTGCCCTGGCCTGGCCTGGCGCTACCTAGAAAACAAGGTCGTTTCTGACCTACGGATTCGCGATCGATTATAGCTCGCAATGGATTCTTGCCAGTTATTCCACACGGTTAGCTCGTCACCTCTTTTTTATCCTGCGCTTCCCTGAAACCTTTTTATCACTTCCTGCACCGCCGTCATCCATCGATGTCCCTTCTCGTGATTAGGCTTGTCACTAAGATGTAAAACGGCTGGAGCGGCCGACATTGTCCTACTTCTTTAAAACTTACAAATTCCGCCAAAACCGCCCCGCTGATCACTGATGCAAGTTTTATCACAAATTTAGCCCCACGTATGTTTTGCTTCATGCGTTGAATCTAGCGGATTCGCAGTCAATTGTTTATTGCCGAGCTTAGAAAGCGAGCCAACTAGCTCTTATAATTTATGTATTATTAATGTCTTGTCCCATAGCTCAAATCAACTGCCAGATGCATTAAACGCTAACGACTTCCGGGCAGAAACTAGCCAGAGTACAGGACCTCCACAACTTCGAGTCTAGATAACATGGAACAAACAATAGACCATGTTTTCCGGGAATCATAGCTTACGGTTGTTTGTAGGAAAAGCTACAAACTAAATAAAAGCGATTGTTTTCTTAAGAAGTTAATAGACGTCGTGCAATTGTGAAAACAGTACATATTAACTAAACAACCTCTTGTGCAGTAAACAAATGTAAATTGCTAAAGAGGGCTATTTATGTTGGATCATTTGAAGATGCAATTCAGCCCATTTTAAACGTGAACCATGCAAAGGTCCGTAAGTACAATAGTTCCATATGATAGGAATTCGTATTACATTGCAATCTTGCATGTTTGCAAGCACTTCTTGGCGGTATTTCTATGGAAGTTTTGAGTTCAAATTGTTATGTATGGCGAAATTGGATGAAAGCTTTGAGCGTTCGCAGAGAAGCTTGAGGCACCTCCATAAAAGTGACAGTTCCTTTAGCAGTAAATTTTATAATAGATCTATGAGTTCATAATATAGTAATTCGAAGTTTGAACCAAGCAGCATAGCCACCACAATCTTTTGTTTGACAGGCATTTTGGTTACATCCAGTGGCCGCATGAAGGAATGCTTGTTTAATGGATAGGTGTGGACCTACCATTAAGGCCAGGAAGTTGTCAACGTTGTCTCGATAGAGCTTCTCAATGCCCTCAGAGCCCTAATGATGGTTAGAGGTCCCTGTCTTATTACAGATCCGTCGAATGAGTTTCAGAAAAAAAGTCAAATTATTCAGAAGGATAATTTGACTTTTTTTCTCAAATGCCGTCCGATAGAGTAAATCCCTTGGGTTAGCTACATTATACGCTATATATCCAACGAGGCTATATGACTTGTACGTAGCCCGATGCAATCAGCTTCATAAAACGAGCTTTTTAAGCTCAAACGATTTTACTCAAGGTCCAAAAATACGTTTTATATATTTATATAAGTATGTAGCTGATTTTATGTAATATTACTTTTAAAAGATATTCTAGTTCAAGTTTACCTTGAAATCTCAAAATGCCAATACCATCGCTAAAGACTTGTTGTTCACAAAACATTGAAAGTTAGTTCTGCTTCAGCTTCGTACACTTCAGAACCAAGGCCCCCCGAATTGACTTCCTCTCCAGATGTAAATATTAGCTTAAATTAGTCGTAGCAGAATTACCTAGTTTTATTACATAGTTACATAGAGTTTTAAATAATTTTTACTGTTCTTTGTATAGGAAACAATTCTGTGAACACCTCAGTGAACTTATCATCTGTATTACCAGCGGCATAATAAATCATACTTCAGACTAAACACGTCATATTTCGCAAAGCTTAACCTTGAATTTGATGGATTCTCACGAAATCGTTCCCTGTTAGCCCTTTCTTTGTTGGCCAACAAAACTAGGTGCATAGATTTAGCTCATTACAGTTCGGCCTGCAGAATATCTTAGGGAAAACTTGGTCGATTAGTAATCAGATTCGAGCACCACTTAAACGTGCATTGCCCCTTTTTTCTTTACCATTTTATTGTTTTTTTTACTTTGCCACGATTATGTTCAATAAACAGCTCTTTCGCATCACCGCGTATGTTTCGTTCGTCACGAATCAAATGTGCTCGCCCCTTCGACATTTTTTGTAAAACCCTTTTACAAAGCTTGCCCACAGCTGTGCCCGCTGCATGTGCAGTATTTGCCCCCGTTCCTGCCCTCCTTTTCACTATTTCCACATTACGTGGCTGGGGCCCTCCTTGTCATCTTTGTCGACGTGGCAAGCCAATTTGGAGAATCCCACTGTTTAACGCTCATTGTTGGTGTTATTGCTGGTGGTGGCTGCGATCGACTTGAGCGGAATGTTTCCAAGTTTATTCACGTTAATTTTACTTCTTTTATGGAACAACTCTACCCCGGCTGCGAGAAAACATTCTATTACAATTATAAAGATGGCTTGCTCTTCTCTAACGAATGTCCCAGGAACCGATTGTCCTGAACTGCTGCTTGTGATCAGGAGCATCGTTGTGGTTTTCGTTCTTGTAGCAGCGACAATGAACGTTTCGTGAAGAGACGGTGAGATGGCGCCGCCTAGTGACTATCTAGCTAAGTTTTGTTGGGCAGCAGAGGCAGGGGGGTTGGTGGTAAAGAAGTATGCCTATTACAACTGGCTTTTGTCATCCATAATTCCTGTGGTCATGGCCGTCGAGAAGGCCGAGAAGGACGAACCGAGCAAAAAACGTATATTAATACAGCGGTTAGCTCTATTAGGCGGCTTACGCGCCGCTGGTCTATTGTTGCTACTACCCTGTTGACAGCTATGCTCACTGTAGAGAAAACAAGATAGACCGTGACGTAGGACATTGGCCAGGCTTTGTCGGCCAATGAGCCACACATCGGCGCAGTTTAAATATTCCAGCGTAAAGCGACGGTAGATTCCTTCACGGCTCTCATAGCCCTCGCAGATCTTGTTAGTGAAACTGCCTAGAGCTAGCTCCGTTTCACTGGCTACTATTCGATGGCTACTATTGCTGCTATTGCTGCCGCCGGTACTGTTACCCTCTCCCTATGGGCAGACCGACCTATCGGCCGACCAAGCCACGGGACACAAACAACCGACGAAAGTCGCTTATCCTAAAGACAGGTCAAATTCTGAACCCGCGCAGCGGACTCTCTGTGCGCGAAAGATTTCAGACATAGTGGTAGCCGCGAGAATAGTGGCAGCCCACGAGAATGAACCGCGCAACAAAGCTTCTATGCAGTGCCGTAGCTCTACGTCGATAGGACAGAGCAACTAATCCCTCATAGTGCGAACGGGTGTTCAGCTTCCGTCTGATCACTTCTGGTTAGTTCTCTTCTGAATAGTCCGTTCAACCCGTTCGTTCCTCTGCGCCCTTTACGTGTATCTGGCAGATTGAGCAGTACCTAGTTGCGGCTGTACCTTATAAACATTGTTAGGTTAAAACCAGAGAGCACACATACACGGGTAGCAGCTGGTTGCTGTCGAGAAGATAGTCTGTAGCCACCGCTGTCATGACCATCATCGTCATCGGTCCTACCAAAGACATTGGAAGGCCTCTGCTTCTACAACCGTCGCCACTTCCACAGTTGCTTCCATCACCTGCCACCGCTGCTGCTGCTGTCACGGCCACTGTGGGCAAGTGCTCTCTCACCCGTTTCACCATACCCTCAGTTGGAGGGGGCAGCTGCATGGTCGTTGTATCTGCCACTTCCCTCGGTCGAGGGCAAAGCGCGTGTGAGGTCCTCTGCTGCCTACCTTCCTTTCCCCTTAGCTGAGAGTCAGGACCAGCGGCAGCAGTCGCGAGGGCGCTGAACATGGAGGGCTGAAAAAGAATTGAGGCTGTTCGCTGAGGCTAACGAGATTGTGGCTGGCTAAGAACTAAAGGTTGATTGCAACTGTTGTGAATTGTCGTAGCGGCAGGGGCTGTCCTGCCTAACGGTGGTAGCTACTCTTGCTACTGCCCGCCTGTCAACTCGACTAACGTGTCGTCCAAGTAGAACACTTCTGCTTTTGCGACCCCCTGGGGCACACGAGGGGATTGTGTTCATGTATCGGTCTCTGTGTTGGTATTAATGGCCATTTCGTCGCCGTCGTTGTTTGCTACCCCTTGCTATCGTCGTGTTTGGTTCGTGTTCGGCCGAGTTCGATCATTTGTCGTTGTTTTGTTTTGTCGATCCAATGTCTCTTCACAGCTTCTTCTTCGTTTTCATAGTAGTCGGTCGCAAACTGCCCGATGCGAAGGACTGCGATATGACGCTGACGTGCGGGAAAAAGTGAGAGTTTGTCGTCTTCGCTCGTCGTTGTGGTTGCGTGAGTCGCTCCTGTCTTCCGGTCAGCGAGCATGACTTGCAAGGCACGGTAAGTTGGATCATTGGCTCGCTTACTGAATCGCCTATGGAAAAAGCGGCATAACCGTGGCTAGTGGCCGGCCACGAATAATTGTATTAGACTACAAAGAATCACATTGTTATTATAAGCTGCTTGTCTGGCAAAAGGCCTTCTTATTTGTTATTTACTCTTGTTCCTTGGAGCGTGTTGGTAACGTGCGCGAACGAGAGAGGAGCGCGTGAAATCCGTCGAAAAATAGCATAGTGCGAAGGAGCAAACTTCATTGGACCAATTTCATCATCGATATTGACGATTTCTACCGACGACATCAGGGCTTATGAGTCATTTATGCCACAGCTTTTCGGCGTGATTCGAGGTTTGATCTTCGTTATAAAAAGTGTTATTTTGTGGATGGAAAGCATTTATTGAAAATTGTGGCCAGCCGGTAACACTCTCTTCCCATCCTCTTATAATAATATTCATCAGCGTTTTTCACTAAAGTGCTATAAAGTGTTCGCCACTGTTTTCTACTACAAATATTACAGTTATTGCCTCTGATTACGCTGAGAGCACTCGATATATCAGTAATACTTCGACCTCTGATTTGATGTGATAAAGTTGACATGCAAGTTACTGCGTTTAAGTTATGACACACTCCTATTTTTTTCGTCTTCTTAGCCCATTACCATTCTGTAGTTTATGTTCATCCCCTGATCTAATGGTGCCGGTTTACCTGTGTACGTCTGATCGTCGGACATAACCGGATACAACGTTATTAGTGTTCATCATGTGAAGGAAAAATGTTTGTTATGAATTCTGGATCCATAACTACCTCAACTTTTACCAACGCCAACAACAGCTATAATTAGCGGGTTGTAAAAAAAAGGCCGAATTTCGTGTCCTTTGTCATCTGCTCACAATCCAGCACACATCGATTCACCGTTTCGTTTCAAAAGACTTAATTGTTAATCGTGATCTGACGCTCGATAAAACCTGTGACGCTCGCTTTACTTTGTTTGTCACCGCGGCGCCGCAAGTTAGTAGCGCGCTATTCCGCCTCGCTAGAGGTCAGGGCGCTCTAGACGCCCTTCATTGAAGCGACTCCGGTGAGTACCAATCCACTCATAGTAGAAATAGTAGAATGACGAACCCGCTCCTTTTCCCTTTGTATATGAGTATGGGTTATTTTCTCAGTGTCCATCTACGAGTGAGACTGATGCGAAAGCCCCAGATCCACACTGTCACGGTGGAGCAAACAGCTGACGGCGTGCCAACTTTCCTATAGTATGTAATGTAAGGTAACCCTATGGAGGCGTGGGTGTTATGTCGATCAGACGATACCATAGTGCTCCTTCCGACACCGCTACTTCGCACTGCTCGCACACAGCTTGCTACAATATGCATCATTTTCTGGCGGCGGAAAAGGCGAGGAGGGGCAAAAGGCAGGGAAGTGTACTCCTGTCTGTTTATCCGCTCCATGCGAAAAACTTAGAAATCGAAAGAAAGCCAGTCTTCGCCGTTTCTGCACCCATGATTACTGCTGTTGTCGTCGTCGCAGCTCGAGCAATGTTAGACAATGAAACCAACCTCGTTTGTAAATGGCATTTACAGCAATAACAACTGTAATGGTAAGTTAGAGGAGCTCTGTTCATTTGGTGATCTCCTGCTTGTTGTCTTTCGCCTTCCACTCATTGCGTCTATAGAAGTTGCGTTCATAGGAAGGACGAAATATTTGATAGAAAACGAGAACAATCCTCCTTGGACGGTTTATCTGCAGCTCTGCTGGTTTTTGCTTATTTTTTTGTCCATGGTTCTAATGCCGCTAGCGGATTAAGTAACCAATCAGTGCTAATCATCATGGGTCTTCGAGGGCAGGAATGAACGCCGGAAGATGCCCCCACGTTACCACAGACAGACAAGGGGACAACAAATCGGGAAACAGCAGCAGTAGCAGCAATCGCTGATTTCGGCCACTACGGCTTTCGAACACGATGCTAGAGCTGTTAGTCCTTTTAGCTGCGTAGTAGTCGAAATTATCATAACTTAGAAAAAGAATTGCCACCCTTGTTCTTTGTCCCCCATATTCCGTGTGCTTTTTTTATTAGAGAAGTCTACTGATAGAAACACAATCACCGAGTCGCGTGGGGATCTCTGTACGACGACACTTTGCCATAGAATAGCATGTGAACGCATCCGGGACGAGTGCGAGCGCGTCAATTCGTCTATCAACCCACAGATTGTACACAGACGAACCATTGAAATGCGCTTGAACCGTTTCCCCTGAACGAGCAACCCTTATCAAGGTTAATTATGCTAATGTGTACGACCTCACAACCCCTTCGGAGAAACCATCGTTTCAGAAGGTCCTGGCCCACAAATAAGGGGGATGTCCAGCAACCCCGTACGCTGGCTAACGGCCCATTGGGCAAGTTGGTAAGCTGGTGACTGCTGGATTATTTTATGATTAGTAATTCACAATGGTGAAATGTCATAAGGACGCAGATAGAAAAGGTAGCGGTACATATATTCATAGCACGCCTAATCAGGAGTCTTTTTGTGCTTAACGGGAGGGCTATGCCAAGCAGATTTTAGCGTTTTATTTTGCGATTTTTTATTTTTAAAAAGCCAGTATTTTACCACGTTATGTAATACTATGATTAATCGTATGGTGGAATCCATTGTTTCACGAGCATAATTATGTCATTTAGCTAAATTACGCTCACAGAAAGGTGTATACAAATAGCACTTAACATGGACCAGCACAGCAAAGCTTGTATTTTGAAAATAAGATTCTAAATGTTGCACCTATCGTTCAATCCGTTCAAAGATGATCCACTTAAATGTGTTATTTGCATCTTCTTCTCGTTTTTGTTTTCCCTTGCCAGTCTTTTTCCCTCTTTGTTATAGCAGAATAAGAAACGCTTGCCTTAACCCGCGTACGCCCAAAGCCAGCCAACACGCTTAATATTTCAACCTTCATCGACAGCATTCGCGGTTACTGTAAATGTAGCTTCGACCTCGCCTATTTCATCTTGCCCTCGTCGGCATCGTTGATCGCTGACGATGCTCCAACACGTTAGTAAAAAGTGTACAGCGTCATTTCTAGATGAATTCTACCTGGCTCTTTGCTAAATCAATCGTTCAGCCAACAGGGTGGCTCAGTGGCTTCATGCGAACTGATGGTACAGCTGCTGCTGTTACAGCAAGAGGCCAGTATTGGAAACGCGCGCGACGAAGCGAATCCATGCGCGCGTCGACCTCTTGAAGGCTTCCGTGCTTGCAACCTGATTTATCCCGATCGGCTAGAACTGAACCCAGAGTCCGTTTTTGCACTCTCCCCGTTTGCTCTTCCCTTCTCGATTCCTGTTGATGGCTCACACGGCCCTGCTATTTATCTGGACTTCGCGATAAAACTCGGTGGCCTGGACTGGTTACCAAGACTACTAGCGACACCAAGCGGTGTTCGCTGTCAAAGCCTAGTCCGACTAGTATTGCTACTATTATAAAACTGCTGCAGCAATAACAGAGGTAGCGGTTCATTAATTCGAGTAATGGAAAAGCGCTGGGGCAAAAACAGCAGCGGCAGCTATCGCCTCTGAAATCTCGTCGGCAACATTTTCTTGTAGCCGCGTGAATCTTTTGTCGGCCTTTCAACTTGCGACTATTTGATGGCGTTGCTTGTACCTGCATTAAGGTAGCTAACACAGTTTCAGTTTAGAGAAGGCCTCAAGGCGCCTCAGCGTCAGCCTAGGAGCGAGTATCCGAGTGATAGCTTCCGTTCAAAACGATGACTGGGAAGTGATGAAGTCTTATCTCACGTGACACGAGGTACGGGCAGCTGAACACTCTTTGATTCGGTTAAAAAAATCGGGCATAAGATATTTTTTATTTGGGATAGCGTTTGGTCATTATAGCTCTAATTCAGTCTTATCCAATTGAACTACGTAATGCTGTTCGACTTGAGATATTAAAGCGTGACGCTCGTAGTAGCTTAGGTACATACGGAGAAGAAATATTTATAAGACGCAAATTTACTAAACGTCCTGTAAGCCGAAGGTAATATTAGGTATACACAAGAATTGTTCTAGTGCTTATTGATTCAGAAGGTTGATAAATCGAATAGCGTTGATACATCAGACTACGCTTAGTACATTATACACCAGATCACACTCGAGACAGCTTTTTTTGGATCTGTCAGCTTCCGTAACACCTTCTCGAGCGGCAAATCAATAAGCTTTCTTGAACACGTCGAAAAGAGAAGTTTAGGCCTAATATTTGTGTTTGTACGACATCAATTTTGAGGCGTCGTCATGAATATAATAGCGTCGAAGATTTGATCCAAACATTTGCCCCATCTCCTCAAGCCGCTGTACACAGGTGTGCGATGTAGAGAGTTTGCTCTTCTTTCAAGACAAACTTGTTTTAGTTTCTCAGCAAATCATGAATTTCATTCGTCACGTTCAATCCTAAAGCCTGGTTTTGTCTGTGACTCGCTAAGCGGTATTAGAGATGACAAGGGCTAAGTATATGGGTTGATTGCTTGTGCCAGCCGTACCATTAACCGGGCCATAATCTGCACAAGGTCGTCGAGAAATAGAGCATGCCGAGCGGCATCGAGCATACAAAGCAGGAAGCAACGCCCGCTCGCGGAGCAGACGGTGCTCTGATTGCGGTCTAGCAAGAAGGAGAGAAAGGCATAACAGGAATTGAGAGCTGCAGAGAGGTTGATCATTCTGTATCGTCTCGCAGCATAACCAGTAGCAACATTGGTAAAACTTGCGGCAGCACTAACTATCAATGGGAGTCTTCATTTTCACTGTCGGATTCTACTCGTCGGAGTCAGATTAGTTTAGTGGACGAGAACGTTGCCGCTTCATTTTAACTGGTTTACAACTACCTCTTCAAAACTGCTGTCTAACGTTTTGGCATAGTAAGCTTAACGCCGCTGCTAATCCTGCTTCTCAGACTAGTCACGCGCACCCTCGTAATCGAAGAGAAAAAATTTTTGGTCCACAATCTGATATTCCTTATCATCGTGCTTTGTGAATTATAAAAGGCCGGACGTTGGTGGTTCACTGTGCTTTCAGCAGTGACATCGTTTTTGGAAACTTCGCCACTGGCAACATCGTCATAATAATGAAACATAACATTTTTGCCACCCTAAACGAGACGACGATCGCCTTTTTACGCATTGGAATGCCAGTCTATTCAGCTCTGGTGCTCCTTTAGTCCTGCTGCTCTCTACTGCTCGATGAGCAAATATACCCGCCAATAAAGATCCGAACAGGTTGCAACAGACGAACCGCCTGTTTATTTTTCTACGAAGGTAACGCTGACCGTGAAACGTGCGCGTTACATTGTGGACAAAAGAAAGGACAAGGTAGGACCATCAAAAGCTGGCAGTGATCAGACACAGACGAGATCTGCAGTAACACAGCTATTTTCAGCAGGCTTTAATGCTCAAGAATAGAACAGGTAACAGGGCGGTAAGAAAGTGGTGGCTTTAACGGATAAAGAAACGCATCTGCACGAAGTATAATTAAGTGGCTGGACCTAGTATGTTTTACGAATCCGAAGTAATTTGTGTTCCGGATGAACTTCTTCAATCAAGGAAACGTTTTGCGCTTTTCTGAGCCTCATTACCCACGATGACACTGACTTCACAGGCCTGCAGGCTTTCGGGCCTTTAAACCTGCCTCGAGTATTCTCTCTTTTTCATGAAGAATAATCGTTTGACATAATGCTACAACGTAGCAGGGCTAAGCAGGCCCAACAGGCCAGCCGGCAGCACCCGACGTCATAGTCCGCACCCAGTTGTCAGTGCCCCATTTATGGAATTTTAGTACAGAGAAGGTCCTCTCTTATTCGGAAAAAGGGATAGCGTGAATTGAGATCTCGTACGTCGAGGCGTCCGTCTGTCTATCCGTTCATTACACGTACGTTGCAAAGGCCGCTGGTCCAGCTTTATCCACGATGGCGGCATTTTTCTATTTAGAGTACTGGTGAATTGGAGGTCACGCTCGCCGACAAATGGTTCAGTTGCATGTCTTTGAATGTCTCTTTTTGAAGATATGGAGGGGAAATCGGCAGCGATTACGACGTAGAT